AAACAGATATTTGCAGTAATTCGAAAGAAAACGTGTAAAATACCGGAGCAAAAAATATAAAAGGTGAATTTTTGCATTGTTTCATTAATGATAATAATAATAATAATAATAATAATAATAATAATAATAATAATAATAATAATAATTTAAATTATGTGCAATAAATTGCATTCTGAGGGGGTCAAGAGGGATACAAGGCTCATCTACTAGACATGATTCCTACTGTGTAAAAAAGAAAACCCCAAAACAACCGTCCTAACATAGATTTAGGTGGCCCGATTACCTTTTTTTTTCTTTTTGTTTTTTACAGTACAGTTCTTTCATGTGTTCTAGTTTTATAGATTTTACCTGTTTTGGTAAATTACAGATAAAATCTAGTAAAATCATTGAAAAAATAATTAATGATTGACATGTTAGCCATAAAAAGACGCAAAAACTGTAAATAACGTCCACTTCAAAAGTCTGTAATTTTTAATGAACTGTTCTTCTACAACATTTGACCATAAAATTCCACTATTTTTACTGAATGTAGATTGTGTGTTACAATCATTATATAAAATTTGAGGAATATTTTCTATTACTTGAAAGAAAACATACGTAAAACAAATAAAAAATTAAAAATAAAAGGTGCATTTCTGCATGGTTTCATCAAATATAGAATAGAAAAGTTGGATAAATCTCCAGAATCAAACCAGTTTGCAGCATTCAGAGCTCGTCTGAGAGTCTCTCAGATTCTCCTCTGATAGTGTTCAGTTTCACGTGTTGTTGAATTGTAATGTAATGTGTAATCTGAGCGTCCAACACTCGTCGTTTCTACGCGGCAGAAAACGATGCTGCAGGAATGATCAGGGTTTTAATTCACTCTGTTAACAGAATCTCAAATTTAGCGAATGTCAAAGGATGAAAATAGTTTTGCTGCTGAAGGAATCTTGTCTAGAAGATCAGCTGGTATCAAATGAGGTAAAACTGAGGCCTGGTTTTGAACAATGTGCATGTTAAAGCTCACATAAATATGTTAAGATACACTATTTGCAGGTGCAGTTTGAGACTCAGGTTTACTGTTGAACTTGTAAAAATACGACTAGTGGTGCGACCTTCACGTTGCACTAAAAAAACCACATTTATCCTTCATGCTGTGAATGTTTTCAGAAATACAGACTCTTAAAGTGGGATTGTTGTGACTTTTTAATGGACTTTCTAAATAATTTCTGAGCCTCGTAACGTCATCAGAACAGCAGATAGACATTTTCAAGGCTGAAAAACACACGTTAGCTCTGTTAGAACCGTCTTTGAGCTTCAGTATTATGGGATGTATCACAGAGCTACAGCGCTTTATTGTCATTCGTTGCCTCGTGCTGATCCGTGTGCAGAAATCCACTGAGTGCCTCAAATAAGTGGAGAGAAAACCTGCAAACCAGAAGCAGAATGTAGAGTGTCAAAGGTTTGCCGTCCAGGAGTCAAACAGCCTCGGGAAATGTACTTCTTTTCAGGGAATGTGCTTTTCTCAGACGCTGTCCCTGCAGGCCATCGGCGGCCTTCACCAAGACAAAGGCTGTGCATCACACAGACTTCTTATTTGCTGCCCGCGATTGTGTTCGACACGAAGCAGCCGCCCGTGCACTTCCCCGACCCGTTGGTCTCCGTGTGCAGAGGATTATTGGAAGAAGCACCGAGCAGACGTGAAGCCACAAAACGGCACATTGTTAGATGAAAACTCTGAGCATCAAACATGAGTGAAAACAGGCAGGTTGCTCGTACTGTTCATGTTGTTGTTCCAGCATTTTATTAGTGTTACGGTTGTTCATTCACCCTCTGAATTCAAAGGAATTTCTGGGCGTTTTGGTCACATTTTTACACACCGTAGGCTCATTTTTCACCGCAACATAAAGTCCTGCACCTCGATGGAAAAGCAGGAGAGAAATTTAGGATACGTCTTCTGTCAGTGTGACGCAGTTAGACAGAAAGAAATAGAGCTGAAGTTCTTTCATCATTTATTTACCACCTGTGTCCACGTTTTAAATCGACATACTTTTGATATTTCGTCCTTAAATTTTATTTATTTTTTCTTTGAATTTTTGTCCTGTGACTGTTGGTCACAGCTGAGACGCTCACGGCTTCACGGTTGAAGCAAAGAGAGCAGAATTTTTAGTTTTTTATAAAATCTGGTTACGGCTAATGGTGTGGTTTTGGTAAATGTTTAAATGAGACATGTAGAGTAGGATTATTTGTGGTGTATTGGTCTTTTGTCTTTTAGTGACTTGGATGCAAAGAGGAGCACAGAATTCTGTTGTTGTTGTTGTTGTTGTTGCAGAATCTGGTGGAAATCGTTTATTTTTGGCGGTTTTTAAAGGAGATGCGTAGCATAAAGCGACAGAAGCGTGCATCCTGTGGCTGCCTGTACATGAGCTGGTTCAGACTGAGAGGATTTTTGAATGAGCCAAAAAGTACAAGTGGGGAGTTTCATACTACAAACAAGCGACGATGTGTTGGAAGGACTTTCCGCTGCCACACAAACTTCCACTCACACGTGAAGGGAAGCGATCGCGGCCAAGGCGTCGGCCTCGACTTCAGACAGAACAAGAACTTGACAGGAGCGTGAGCCTGTGGTCGATCCTGCCAACGGAGAGACACCTGAAACCAGCTCCGAGCTCAAACGCTGCGCTGATCGCACTCCGCTGCCCAAACGCTCGCCGTCCTCGTCCAAACGTTTCAAGGCGGTAAATTTATGCAGGCGGGCCGCTGTGGGCGCAGCTCGAATGTTTGTGTCTTCCAAGCTTTGCCAGAACGTGCGTCATCTCTGGCATTATCCAGTGTTCACCAGGGACCGGTCCGCCAGAATCCAACACAGTCGGATCCTCTCAGCTCGAGATGGAATATGTTAAACATAGCCGCCAGGTGTGTTTATGAAGCAGCAACAGGTTTCTGTGAGACAAGGATGATGAGATTTTTAGCTTTTCTTCATCTGTGTGAAGCTCAAATCAGGCTGCAGACTCTTTATTATGTTGTTCTGTCATTTTATTTGGATGGTTGATGAGTGATTGGTCTGAACTCCGAGCAGCAGTTTGTGGGATTTTTTTTGGTGAATTTCTTTGATTTTAAACTTTTTTTTTTTTTTTTTACATCAATTAAGAAAAACTCGGATTCAACTTGTACGACATTGTCTGGTGTCAACAAGGAATTTTTTGTTTTCAGCAGAATCAGCTTCATGCAAACAGTTGATTTTTGGCTGATTTTTAAATTGCACATGTAAAATAAAGTAATTTTAATTAAATATCACTATTTTACGCTTATTTTAAGTCCAAGAACCATCAAAAGTGTGAAATGAGATTTTTTTTTTTTTTAACAGTTTCTGGCTAACAAATCTTTTATTATTATTAGTAGTAGTAGTAATTATTAATAATTAATTAATTAATTTAATAATTAATATTTTACTTTTTTTATGTTCTGTGAGCAGTTTGACACCGTTAGAATGACAAGGAATAAAGAATTAAAGTTGAATTTATTTGATTATTTAATTGGAAAAAACAGGAAGTGTCATTGGTAAGAAAGTGAAAACGTCCGTAATATTGTATTAATTTCCATAATTAATTAATTATTGATGGTCAACGTGATCGACTGGTTCAGGAAATAGTTTCTTGTGCTTCTGTATTTATTGTGATATCAGCAGATTGTGGTTTGGCTCCTCCATTATTTTACTGTTTGGATCGATTCTTTCTATGCAAGTTTGTCTGCTTTATTTCTGACAAAAGCTAGAAATGTTCAATCAAAAGCAAGCGGAATTGCAATTTCACTCGTTATTTTTCTAATCTTTAAAAATTGTCCTTTAGTAGAAAAAACCAGATGAGTTTGACTGGATGTGGATTTATTTGTAGTCGAGCGATTGGTTTGCAAAACTTCTTATTTGTTTTTCTTGTCGAACTATATTTGCTGTTTAATGCTTTTTATTGAGTTTTATTTATTTCAGGCGACCGGCTTTTTTGAGCAGACAGCACGTGGAGGAAAAACAAAACAGTAATCCTGTGAATCTAACACATACAGAGACATGAATGTTGGATTTAAATGATTCCTGCTGCGTTATTCTGTTCTGCGTTGGATATCCAGTGAGCTGTGGGTGTTGTCTGCTGCTTCTCAGAACAGTTGGTGTGGGAATCTTCTGAGGCTTTAAAACGCAATTAGAGCGTCTAATAGATCCGTGTGCAGTAAATGAAGAAACCCCCACCACGGCCGGATTATTTGATCCATCGCTCGGCGCTCGGGTGTGAATCTTCGCCGCTTCTCGGTGTAGTTTCCAAACGCCCGGTGCATCCTGAAGAGTCGGGATGAGAGCGATGAATCACCGTGAAAGAATGAACTTGTCTGCAAGGAGAGATGCTATCGTGGTTGTTAAGGAGGGCGAGCGGAGGGGCGACGGCAGATTAATTGTTGTTTGCTCGTATGCGCTGAGAGCGTCGCACC